AAGATGTGGAAACAATCCAAGTGCCCATCAATACATGAATGTATTAATAAAATGTGGTATATGTATACCATGGAGTTCTACTCAGCCATAAAAAACAATGGGATCTAGCACCTCTTGCATTATCCTGGATAGAGCTGGAACCCATTCTACTAAGTGAAGTATCCCAAGAATGTAAAAACAAGTACCACATGTACTCACCATCAAATTGGTATTAACTGATCAACACTTAAGTGTACATATAGTAATAACATTCATCGGGTGTCAGGCAAATGGAGGGGGAGGAGGGAATGGGTATATACACACGTAATGGGTACGGTGCGCACCATCAGGGGGATGGACACTTTTGAAGCTCTGACTTGGGTGGGGCAAAGGCAATATATGTAACCCAAACATTTGTACCCCGGTAATATGCTGAAATTAAAAAGAAAAAAAAAGAACTCAAAAAAAAAAAACACAGATAAAACTTGACATGATGCTAAGTGAAATAAGCCAGTCAAGGACAAATACTGCATTTTTCCACTGATATGAGGTGTCAAAAATATTCAAACTCGTAGAAGTAGAGTACAGTGGTGATTGCCACAGGCTGGGAGAAACGGGCAATTTGGAGTATCTATTCAACAGGGATAAAGTTTCAGTTATTCAAGATAAGTTCTAGAGATCTGCTGTATAACATTGCATCTACAGTTAATAGAACTGTACTGTATACTTACAATTTTGGTGAGAGGATAGATCTCATGTTAAATGTTCTTACTATAATAAAAAAAAGTCAAGGAATAATGAATAAACAAAATGCGGTTTATTCATACAATGGAATTTTTCAACCTTAAGAAGGAGAATTCTGACACATGCTAATACATGGATGAACCATGAAGACATTACATTAGAGGAAATATACCTCCTATTTTCTGTTAAACTATATAGACGGAAAATAGAATGGTTGTTGCCAGGGGATTGGAGAAAGGGGGAATAGGGAGTAACTGTTTAACAGTTAGGGAGTATCAGTTTGGGAAGATGAAAATGTTCTGTAGATGGATGGTGGGGATGGGCACACAACGATGTGAATGTGTTTAACACCACTGAACTGTACGCCTAAAATGGTTAAATGGCAATTTTTTTTTTAGATATATAACCACAATTTAAAAAATAAATAACAAGGGAGAGGGTAGCAAACAAAGGAGCAAAACAGTTGACTATTGAAAATAGAGCTAAAGGCTTTGCTTTTCTTTTCTGGTCCTGGACTTCAGGAGTGTATTAGTTTGTTTTAAAGGTGAAAGTCAATAGCAAAAAAGGTGATTCCATGTGAGCCTGCAACCAATTCTTCATCACCTCAGAAGCTAAAGGAGACAATATAGTAGTGGAGCCTCCTTTCTAAAGAATCTCTATTCTGCACCTCTGGATGCCATCATACATGAGTGATTGGCTGAGTGTGGTAGTCTCCATGGCTCCTTGGGAAAGTGTGGTGCCTAACTCTAAGTCCACTAGCCACTCTCTCTTCATGGAAGAGAAAAGATATATACTCCTGAATTAATCATGAGACTGTGTCATCTAGGTAATCATCCCATGGGAAGTTAAAATCTCTATAAGTTTTAAATTACTCAATCTCTGGTAGCTGGTAATACTGCCATCTAAGTTCCCTCAGTCAGTTACCAATAAAAATATCACAATCTTCCAGAGTAATTCAGGCACATGACCTTGAAGACTGGCATTTTTGTTCTTCAGAGCAACTACATTTAACCGAGTCATGTTTTCAGAGAGAAATAAATCCATTCTCTGAACTCTAAGCTTTGCCTAAAACCAGGCTAGGCTCAACAATGTCAGAATTAGAAAAATGGCCCTATAATGAAAGTTTACAGATTATGTTACCCAGGTCTTATCCTAAACTACAACGATAGACATATCTTTAACCCAAGCTCAATTGCATTCCTAAAACTAGCCACTAGTGATGTTTGTGGGTGCCAAACGGGAGTAAGTGAAGGATGTTGACTGTTGCTTTGGTAAAGATTCCAAAAGGGCCAATTACTAATCCCCTGGGTACTAGAGAGGTCAATGCATTGCCAAATCCTGCAGTCTGTGAAAGTCTATTTAAACACTTCTCTAAAGTCAATGAAGAAAGAATTACAAAGAAGGGCCTGTGAAAAAATGACAGCAGCAGAGCCATGCATGTACCAACAAGATAAAGATTTGTTTGAGAGACACTACTCTTGAGTTTAGTGGGTGTCTAGGGAAACAGTCAAAAGGAAGACATGAATCAGGAATAAAAGAAATCTCTCTCCACATTGTTCATCAAGTCTTAAGGAAACAAAAATTCAGCAAAATCGATTTGAGAAAACAGTGTCTAATTACGTGGATTTGATTCATTTATTCAGGTTATAGTTGCATATACTAGTTTTCCAGATTTAAAGAAGTTTGCATTATTCCCATTGTTTTTAATTTGGATTGAACATAGTTCTAAGAGATCTGAAAATATGTA